TATATATACCATTTAAAATGTTTATCCCCTTAAAGAATCCTCCTAAAGCCGTGGTTCTCAACTGGTGGGTCGCAACCATGTGTTTAGTAGCTTGCTGTGTGCCTTCCACTGCACTAGGTGACAGACTCCTCAGCCTCCCCCTAGCGGAGCACTGTCAGTTCTTGCACTGAGCAGCCATTCAAAATATGAGTGCATGCGCATGGTGATGTCACAGCGGGGTGTCTTCTGATACCCGCTCCGGGTGACACCCGGCCTTGGGTCGCCCCTGTGCTGATAGGAGGAGAAAGCAGAGTGACAGAGAGATGAGCTCACCACTGTGCTGCTTCTCCTTTCACTGTCCAGCACAAACTGGGCTCACTGGAAGTGAGTTGAATTATGCTGGTCATCAGACTGAGGACATCTAGCAGTAGTGGATGACATTCCCTTACTGTGAGGAAAATCTCTGGATTGAAGGTGAATATTGCATCAAAAGCTGTTTCTGTTATTTTATCTTGTAATGGGGAAATAATTTCCATCTTGTTATCTTTGGCTGGAGTTCAGCTTTAAACTGCCAAGAGAAATTAAATACAGACACCTAAGGTTCTTGGGGTTTCTGCTTGTCACATGGGATTCATGTAAAAAAGTTACATGTTGGGTGGATACTCTTCAAAGGGCACTAGCGTCACTAGATGGAGCTGAGAAATACTGTAGGCATGGTCCACTGTTGTCCCTACCAGGAAACTGATCCAGAGCAATGATGTGCAGCCGACACTGGAGCAAATGCATGTGGACAGGAAGAATCTAAAAGATGCTGGCAAAAATTGTCAGCACTGAGATACAAACAAAGGATGGAAAGAAAAAGTGAAAATGGTATTCTGAGGGCAACAAAATGGACAAGATGCACGTTGTTGTAGCAAACTAAATGTTAAGCAATTTTAGATCTACTTTAGATCCCTGGGAGTACCAAATCCAGGACACACATTTATGCAAATACCAACTTCTGCCTCCAGAACTTCTCTTTTACAGGTCCATCAATGTTATGGGTTTCCTCAAAGACCACTAGAGTACCCCACCTTCCAGAACCACGAGGGGACTTAAGAAGAGACCTGTATTTTCCATTCTAATGGCAGTTTAAGTACAGTAGTATAATATGTAAGTGAACTTTAAACAGAGATGAGTGTGAGATCTGGAGTAAAGAATACAACAAAATGTAAAGTATTGCCATAATAATGTTGGCCAAAGTAACTACAATTATGCTTTGAGTTCAGCAGAACAACTTAAAGGACTTAATTTGCAGTATGCTGTATCTACTAAATTTGTATATAAATAATTTTTATTTTATAATAATATTTTTTTTTTACATACATGTAAAAGACATGTTAAAATAAACTGTGAGTTTTTACTATGCATGAAAAATGTACGTTTGTTTGGATTACAAAATTTGCTGAATGAAAGTGCACTGAATGAAGTTGTTTGAAAAACCCATTAGGCAATGTGTCATGAAATAATGTTTTCAAAATCCATGTCTTTCTAAGAGTTGGTTTTCTTCTCCATTAGAAGCAGGCTCTGACTTGCACATAAGTTACAGCACTGTAAGCTCCTCCCTATTCTGCAGCATAGTAGAGAATACCTCTGCCATATATAGATCTAACCCAGGGGTAGGCAATTCATTTTTTTGAGGAGCCACATGAGAAACTGGGAATGCTGTGGAAGGCCGAACTGATTAACGCAAAGTACAGTGCAACACAGCGACTGTGCTTTACAGGGCGCACTCCTGGCCGCAATGCAATCGACCGTACCAGAACTCGCAGTAGCGCAATACAGTGTGTTGCAGTGCAGTGGAAAAAAGTAATGCATGCAATGCACCTGGCTCACTGTAATGCATGGCAAGTGCGTGGCATGGACCCTGAATAAAGCAGTATTGTCCCCAGATTGTCCCCAAATAATATGATAATTAGTATGTGGCACATACCGCTTTTATTTATTTTACAGGCCACAGGTGGGAGCTGCAGGAGAGGATGGAGGAGGAGGAGGATGATGGTAATCGTGGGGGTGGAAGACATTTGTCACTGAGTCCTAGCAACAATTTACATTTGTTATTGGTTGCTAGGACCCAGTGGTCCTAGCAACCAATGACCTCAGAGGAGACCCCTGACAACGCGGTCTGGACATGGACTGATCACTGACCTGTGCTGGGATATGACTTGCAGTGGATGCACCAGCCTTGGCACATCCACTGTCAGCCAGCCATAACGGAGCACAGGTTGGTAGGCAGGACAGCCACAGACCAAGGGCCGGATCTGCTCTAACCCCTCTACATGTGTGATACAACAACAAAAAAGATGTCTCCTGTCCCCTATTTTCCTTAGACCCAATACTGCATATACAGTAATTGCGCTAAGTAATAAGATTGCCATTTTCTATAGAACATATTTGTTTTTAAACTCTTTTTGTTCATTGTGACTTAGGGTATATCTAAAGCCAAACTTTATGTTTGGATTTTTGGGGCATTACTACAGCTGGCTATACATCATTAGAACTTTGTATGAAAAAAATTGTTTTAAAATTGATGATCACTTTCGACTGTCGTTATAAAAAAAAATCGAAAGATCAGGATGGAAATGTTTTCTTGAACGAATGATATTCTGACAGTGAATGTGATTTTCATTCGGGAAACTCCATTAATTCCAAAGTTAAATGTTACAATCAAACAAAATTTTTTACAGAATTCATTATGTCTCTGATGGCATCAAAGAATGTTCTGATGACATTTTTCATTCATACAAAAACCTACCAGTCTATGGCCAGCTGTACTGTGCCGTAGGTGCAGCAGGAGAATAGAGGAAATCCTTCTAATGTGAGGGAAATAGTTTTTTAGATAGTTGTCACCATAACAAAAGTCGCCATTGCATAGTTGTCAAGTGTCCCAGATACTGTGGGACAGTTCCAGGATTTTGGACACTGACATGTAGTGTTCGTGTCCTGGGGTTGTCCCAAGGAGCTAAAGTGGCAGCGACTTTGTTACTAAGGAGCCATTGAGAAGGAGGTTGGCAGTGAAGCATGGCCAATTGGGCATGGGGGTTTGTGACAATATTACATAACACAATATCATTCTTCCAGTAAGCTTTGCGGTAAATGAGCAGGGTTGGAGTTTGTCTGTGCATAGTTGACAGATGTTAGCGCCACAGTAGAACGGGACACTGGGGACCAAAAGCTGAGTACAGCCCTACCACAGTTTATACCCATTTCCTCTATCTGTCACTGAGAAGCCCTCATATGTGAAGGGCCTCAACCCCTTTGAATTGGTCGTGAAGAAATAATTGGGAGGGATACCTTGAAGAACCTGAACAGAAAAAGCAGATGTGGCCAATATAGTGGGTGTGGCTCGCAGAATATGGCTTGTAGTGTCGCACATTTCTCCATTTTCTTTGCTAAGTTTTGGACTTAGGGATAGGGAGGGTGCTTGTAATGACCGGGGTTGGCAACGCTGTATACATAAATTGGTCATGAAGAATGTCACCAGGACACCGAAAAATCCTTTTTGGATCACCAAATGCTCATTTAATATGGTCCCCCTTCCCCTTCCTTAAAAGTTGCATGAAAGTGCAATAAAGAACCTGTGGGGGGAATAGTAAGCACATAATATACTCATCTTTCCCCGACTTCCATAGTGCAGGGGTTGAGATCTCGTGAAATCTGGGCTACTCAACATAGATCTCGCCAGAAGGAGGATGTCACCCTCGTCTTGGAGGCCCGGGGGGGTTGAAGCAGGGGAAAGATAAGTTTAGCCCCTATCACCTTTCACCTTTTGTGAGGTGGCTACTAGAAATGTAGTGATTGCCAGTCAGTCTGGCTGGATTATAGTTGGCATTTATCTGGTTAATTCCAGGTGTTCTGGCATTGGTTGTACCTACCTGGGTGGAGTGTGACTCTATTGTAATGTGGGACATCCAATGAGGGACACTGAGTGTATGTGCAGTTCACCAGCCAATTAACGGGTCTCTCTCAACCAGTGTTGCATGCTGGGGAAGTGCTTATAGAAAGTTGCCATGTACTCAGTCTTATGCCAGCCATGGATTTGTCCAGGTTGGGGTGCTGTCCAGCCTACCCCCCAGGCTAGGCCTGAGGCCTGGGGGTGGGGATGCTGGAGTGCGGAAAGTGTTTCGCTAGGCCTCGAGTCTGAAGGAGGCCTCTGCAGTTATCAGAGGAGGAGAACCAGAGAAGCTGATGGCTGCTGGAGGTGCCCGGACCATAGTGAACCTCAGGAGAAGGTTTGGCGTCTCTCCTGCTGAAGATTTGTATTCATCTCTGCTCATCTGCTACTCAAATTCCTATACAACTGTGCTACAAATGGATCTATACTAAATTATTGAAAGGGACTGGTGTGAAGATATTAATAAAAGGTCTTCAGCTTTGTACTTTTGGCTTAGATGTCAATTCTGTGGGCACTAAAAGAGGGCAGTTAATGCTAATGGGGCAGATGAACACAAAAACCCCTAGACAACTAGTGATTCTGGCAGCTCCTTCAGGGGTGAGTGCTAAATAAGTATATGATCAAACTCCCCCCTACAGATTTTTTTTTGCACATTCATCCAGCATTTTAGCATTTTAGAGATGGGGGCACTTTGAATAAGTGAACCTTGAGATGTTCTGACTCTGGTCATCGGGTCCTTTAGGTCCAACAGTAATCAATTGTGTACATTAGGATTATGTGATACTGCCAAATGCAAGCTCCATCATGTTTACAGGACACTTCATATCAATGTCCATCAGCTTTTTTTATGTTGGCAGCTACTTTATAATAGCAGATTAAGATCAGAGAGAGAAGTAGTATACACCATACTCACCTTACCAACCACTGCTATAAGCTAGTTAGGTGTAACTACAGCTCTGTTTTGGGGGGTTTGAACAGAGTAGGAAAGAGACAGAACACGTGCCAGGTTGTTATGGCTGTTATGGTGGGAAAGTTAAAACCTCTGCCCTGTTTTATTGCTGCCTCTGTCCTCATAACAGTGAGTTTGCCCCACCTTTTTATCTCGCTGTCTACATTGTCACTGTGACAAGAAGTGATGGGAGTTCTGACCAATGGGGCCATGGACAATAATGAAAAACCTGACAGAGGTTCTAGCCATCCCTTCTCTATTTAAAAATAATAATCATTAAAAAAAAAGTTTTGCTGCAGGCAGATTTGTGGTTTAAATCAAATTCTGCAGGAAGATGCAAGTTCCACTTATGTGGTAGCCCCCTCACGCCTCAAATAAAAACTGCACATTGGAAAAAGTGTAAGACATTCTTGTGGAATTTGGGATCTTCAGCTTTTCCCAGGATACTGCAAGAATGTTAAATGTTTTTAACCTTGCCAAGTGTTTCATAAGCCAGGGTGTAAGGGAGGTTTTTTTACTCTTTCCTCCCAATGTTTTATTATATTTTTAGGTTTAAAAGGTACAGAGTTGGGTTAAAAATGTTTATCCAGAAATCTAAACCCACAGTTGGAAGACCAAACACCCTAATAAAGTATGGTCCACTTTGCTGCAACAGGAGAAAAAATATCCTTCCTGATCCCTTAAAGTGACACTAAAATCAAGATTGAAATCTTAAAAATGCATTCAGGTACCTGAACTAGTAACAACAATGTATCTTTTTTATGTATCACTCGGCTGTAGATCCTCAAATCATCTATGAATTGGTGCTGACACTGTCCTTCCTCCTGGAGGGTGACTACTTTTGTTCCCCATGGTCCCTGTGTATCTTGTAAAGTAGCCATCGCTCTAAGCTCACTCCTATGATGGACTACAATCTCATGTTTATTTTACTCATCTGTATTGAGATTGTTGTCGATCACAGGAGTGAGCTTGGAGCAGTGGCTACTTTACAGCACACAGGGACCATGGGGAACAAAAGTAGCCACCCTCCAGAAGGAAGAACAGATAATATTCCTTGGATAACAATCTCTAGTGTTATTACTTATAAAGATTAATAGCCAGTAATATTTTGTGTGTTTAGAAACACATCCAGCTTATTTTGAAAACAATCTACTCTGCTGGCTAGAACTACCTACTGAGGAAGTATATTCCACATTTTCACAGCTCTTACTGAATTTAATCAATTGTTTTTATTTCGGGGGGCTGGGGCCTCGCAAGCAAGCAGACTTTGCAGTGGTCCCATGCAAGGTACACTTTAAGATGTGTAATGTACTATTTATAGTGAAAAGGTCTTGCATGATAATTAATAAATGCAAGCTCATATAAGAAAGAGGTGATGGAAGAGGAAGAACAGACAGTCTAAAGGGTGCTTAGAGTGTGTCAGTCATTTCTCACCTTCAGTACACGGAGTGTTGGGTGTACCCCTTCCATTTGGGGCGGTAGGTGCATTGCAGTCTGTCCACACTGTGCAGCCTGGTACTGTAGAGTGTTACACACAACCCTGTGTGATCCACGGGTCTCCTCCTTCACAATGACTCCTCCAGATTCGTATGCTCCTATTCTACGATCTGGGACCATGCTATGTGGGTATCCATACAGAGCACCAGAGGGATAGCCCTCCGAAGGCATGTATTGATATGTGCTTTTCAGACGTTCCTGCTTGAGAGGAAAGAGATCAGACAAAAGTTCTTCTCCTGTCTCAATGTATGTGGACAAATCAACAGAGGTCTCAGGATCACAGAGGTTGCTCCCTACAATCTCTCCTTGACGCATAGAATAATTCGAGCTTGGGCCTCGTTTCTCACAATCATAGTAACTGTTCTGAGACATTGTCTGGGCTATGAGTTTCTTCTTCCAGGTGATTTTGTTCTTCTCCAGCACTCTGTTCACCACGTATATGTCCTCTGTTGACAAAGTCCTCCTTAGTCTGTTATCTTCTTTCTTTTATCAGCATAAGGCAGCTGAAAAGACAGGAGAATTTAGTTACAGAATTTCCTCTAACACACGTGTATTATTGTGTCATCTTTTGTGTTACTGGCCAAGTCCAGAAAAAAATGGAGTAAGGGGAAGAAGAGGTGACACAACATTAACTACAAAGGTTGCAGATAAGATCTTTTTAGCCTTATTATAAATCATGTGAAGCACATACCTACACATTGGCTATATACCTATCTCCCAGTGCTCCAGCTTTTATGCAGGAGAGCTCATGATTTCACATTTATAATTTAGGGGTATATTACTTTTATGTAGTATTTATGACATTACCATTGGTTCCTGGCTTGTATAGTGACAGGAGATACTTAGGCTTTAGCCAAATGTCTCATATTAATGGCTAAGGCAGATCCCCAAAAGAATATGTATATGGACACCTAGACTTGGCTGTTGACACTGCCAACTAAAAAAAAAATGCTGAATGCCAATGCCACAATTTATGGAAAGCCATACCAGGCCAAAGGTAGTTATACCTGCATGAATGTAGTGCTATTGGGGTGGCATCATGTGGCCTGTAGAGCCAGTACTTGGAATCCTGTCCTGTAATGGTACTTGTTAAAATGGCCAGGAGTGAAACCTTTAACCACACATGCTATTTAAAACTGTTTTCAAGCTGTTACATTGGGCAATATTTCTTGTGTATTTATCTATACCACCAGTTCTGGATTATATATATATATATCCCTTGTGAAATATGGAGCCAAATCCACCTAGAATGGAAATATCCCTGTAACACTATACTTCCTAGAGTTCAGCTATACAATACTATAATTGAATTGCAATATTATGTTCTGGGATATTCTAAAACATTATATTCCTTAACTCATACAGAACTCATGGAAACTAGACCTACCTGTTTGAACTTTTTGTCTTAAAGTAGCAATAAACTCTCAAATGTTTTTTCAATATTGTAGATCAAACAAATATACAGTGCCCAGCAAAGTATTTCTTTACATTTCCGCCCCAAGCACTTACAGTCATCATGTTTCTAATCAGCTCCACTTCCCTGAACTTCCTGTCTAGTGCAAGATCACAAGGGACAGGGTAGTCTCCAGCAACTGTCCATCTACTAACTTGGAGAAGGAAAGAAGAAGGAGCCAGAGAGTGGTTTTGCCTTTGTTGTGCCTGTGTGTTTGTGGAGACACACAGCTTACTAGTACACACACACAGGGGGCTCCATAGGACCCTGCAAGGGAAAGGAGTCACCCTAAAACTGGATATCAGTACCAGTGCTCAGGGAACCAGCTGATTCTGTTGGAAACTAAAACTTTTAAACATCAGAAGGCAGCATCCATTGTAAGTCATTTCATCAGCATCTTGACTTTTTATATTTTTTTAAGTTATAATAATTCAGCAGGCTTATTTCTGAAATACTAATATTGACTTTCTTATTATCAGTTAGTGTGGCTGATATCGATTCTTGGAGCTGAGAAGTGAAAGCTATCCCCCCAAAGGCCGTTAGTTGGGTCTATTTCCGCAAGATGATGTTAAGTTGGTGGTTTGAAGTCTTTTGGGCATTAGGCAGGCAGTTCTCATAAACAGAGGATTGAATTTGCAAAGCAGGTCAACCAACCCAAATGCATTCTCACATAGACGTATTTACTAAGACTAGAACAGACAAAATCTGAAGCTGACAACCAATCAGCTTCTAGCTTTAATTTGCAAAGCTTAACTGAACAAACTGAAGCTCCAGATTTAGTACATTCCACTAATTGGTGAAAATGTATCAACTATCCTTTATAAACTATCCTTGGTTACTACTCCTGAACATGAGAGTTTGCTAAAGTAGTTTAGCAAAAGGCAATGAGAAGAGTTGACAACACTCTATCCACAAATGCTGTGTGCTGTCAGCCCAATTCTTTGTACTGCAGGGTCTTTAAAGGGATAATCCATGTACACAAACAAATGAGCATGTATTGCAGGCATGAACAGTATTCCACATGATTTTTTTTAAAATTAATGCCCCGTCCCTAGCAGCACCTTTCTTTCACTCCCCTGTCCCTTTATTCAGTTCTCAGGAGAAATTACCAGGTACTTTCGGGTATGGAGGAGCAAGTGGCTGCCTTCATGTGATAGCACTAGTGCTTGGTGGTTGAGGAAAGTCCATGGCTACAACTTGAATAACTTAAAGCTCGCACGGGATGGATTCTCCTGCTGCTGGCAGATGAATAAAGTGGTGGGGGAGTGAAGGTAAGGTGAGTAAGTACATGTGGGGGTGACAGATTAAAGTAAGCCTCTTTGTCCCGCATACCCACGTGGACAAAGCATAGGTTTATTTAAATACTTTTTGTTCAATAGGTTTTTATTATTTTCAGCATATGAGAAAGTACATATGGAAAAGTATTCACATTTCTGCAATCATGGCACAAGTAAGGCCCCTTTCACACAAGCTGATCAGGAGGGGATCAGTGCCTGGATCCTCTCCTGATCACAGCAGTACGGAGTGGATGTCACCGCTGTGACATCCATGTCCGTACAGTTTTTTCCTCCAAACTGCAATTACCAGTCCCCTTGTCTGCCTATGGGTAATTGGATGTACAATAAATGAACATGTGTTCGTTTACATCAGATTACCCCAATCCAGCATAATCAGGTCTGGCAAAACAGAATCCATTTGTTTTTCCCGACCTGGCTGGAGTCAGGGGTAATCGGGTGTAAACGGACGCCTGTCCGTTTTCACACTGCTGCCCATAGACTTACATGCATGAAAAACTGAGGGGCGGACCCGACCGGGCCGCCCGTGTGAAAGGAGTTTAAAGCTGGCCATACATTATGCGAATAAGCACAGTGGGTACCATTGTCCGCATCCTTTCGAATGAACCGAGCAGGCAGCCAATGAGCTGTTTGGGTATTCACAAAATACAAAGGAAACAGCGGGGATTTCTCGACCAATGCTCATAAGCGTTAGTGGGGAAATCTGTTCTATTTTTTTTGTTTAGCCTGCGGGCTGAAAGAAAAAAATAGAACAGTGTATGGCCAGCTTTAGATAAGTGTTGTGGCAGGTTATATAAAGCAGGAGTGATACCAATAAACAGAAATGCAACGCTTTGGAATAGTACTGCCGTCTTCAAAGCATAAAAGACAAAACAAAGCATGGAGTATTACAAATTCATCTTCCTCACATTAAATTTGTGGGGTAAGAAATAGTAGTTAGGGAGATCAGGGGTGTGGAATCCAGGCATTCGCCAGAAAGTTAACGGGGTGCAGGGAATTGCTGGGGTCTTTCATGCTGCAGCTATCACTCTCATTTGTTTTCATTAAGAAGCCTTTTAAAGTGTATTTACATCCTAATAATGAACTACTCTTTTTCTTAGAAAATGTTGTGTTATATCTGTTCAATAATTGTAATACAAACCCTGCCAAAAATCTTGGCAGCTGCCCATTGCCACCGCTGCACTCTTATCAGTTGTTCCCAGTTATCTCAGTGGATTACAAAACACCTGCCTCTATGATGCAGAGATTAGTGAAGGTGTTCTGTAGTCCTAAAATACTTCCTGTCCTATGGTGAGAATGCTACTCCTCCACAGATACAGTAGAGTAAGTGAGCATTGTCACCATAGGTCAGAAAGTGTCCTACTGCCAGGAGCACCAGGTAAAAAAATAATCCTGAAATAATGGAAAAAGATTGCAGCCATCATATCTAACAACTGGTAAACTACAATATATTTCTTTTTTGTTCTTGGGATTAGATACACTTTACGTGTTATCCTTCCAATAAGCGTATTGATTCCATGACTATATTACACTAGTCTGCTCTGCCTTCTATATATTTGTATGCTATACATACACCCAGAGAGGAGATACAGAACACTGTAAAAGGCATCAGCGAGTGCAAACCTGATATGAGCACTGTACCCACACTTCCTATTGTGGTTAAAAACAAACTCATAATCATCTCACCACAGTTGTTTTCTTCTTAATCCTTGTAAAAAATAATATATATTAATGAAATCATATTAATCAGTGTTCAACTCAAGTCAACTGTCTACTTAATAAAATCAGCAATGTGGTATTAAATATAATTGTTTCTAAAAGTTTCTATTGATGTATTTCTAAGTACTTTCTTTTAATTTTGCTTCTAAATGCATAACAGCTCTTGTCTGCATTACATCTCTACTATTCTGCTGTCCTCATATTATTAGGGATGAGCAGCATTGAGAGTTTTGGCAAAAATCGGGAGATTTGAGCAAAATGTGTCTATTTCAGCTTCATGCTTTGGAGTCAAATTGGAAGGTGAAATTAAGGTTGATTTTGAGCAATGGGCTTTAAATGGTTCTGGAGGATTTCAGAAGCTCCTTTCAGGTATTCTAGACCTGCTTTTGCATCAAAAAGAACCCTTTATTATTCCCATTATTTTATGTTTTTTGACAGAAAGAAAAAAACAGATAATAAAAAAGCGTTACAACATTTTTAGGAGACAGCACACGCATGAAGACCAGTTACACAATAAAAAACAAGCACAAAGAACACTAAATAAAATAAACTAAACAATCCTAGATACACTAGAAAATAGTAGACAACATTTTCCTAAGGAACTCAATGAGTGAAAGTTAGAGTTTTTAACTTCTAATTAAATTAACTCAAATGGCGAAATTGGTAGTTGTGACAAAATCAATTTCACTCCACTCATCCTTACCTATTTAAGTATATTCTGGGCATGTCACCCACTTACACCTATATA